GCACATGCTGTGGTAAGTTGACGTTTTTTTGCATATGGCGTGAGTGCATCGTATCTGTTCCTAGTGAAGTGCAAATCGTGATGTGCCATTGTCATTATGAAAGCGCACGAAAAAGGAAGTTCATTTTACACTCTAAATAGAGCTGCATCGTGTCGTTTTTGTGAGTCAAAAGCTTGTCACCGTGAAAAGCGCTAACGGAAATCTTCAGCTGTATGTCAGTCAGAAAAAGTTACTGCGGGCTGAAAATAAAATGTCCCGCCACGAAGAAAAGCTTGCAGACTTTAAGCAATTTTAATTGGCTGACTTGAAGTGACGACAGTTTTACAGTTGAGAAAAACGTTAGTGGGGAATCAAAATTGCACTTTTATAGTGACTTAATGAATCCGGATGATGAAATGAGTCAAGTATAGTAATGAATAGGCTTGTGTGAACGAATAGTAGGGTATTCGAATTCGCTTCGATTCGAATTTACGTTATCGAAAATTTCAAAGTATTCGCAAGGAACGAATACATGCATATTAATCCGAATGTACCACCTGTAAAGGTGGTTTCACTGAGGTATAGGGGTGCTAAACCGTGAAAGCACCTATCCAAAAGAAATCCACTTTGCCGCGAAGCCCTCCTTCAAATTTAAAGGGGCCCTATAACACTTTTTGAGCATTGTAAGGAAACGCTGCCGATCAGCAGTCGAGGCTGCCGAGGACACGCAAGTCAGATATTAAAGAGCAGCATGCGGCGTGCGATTCACGACAAGTTTTCAAAGTCAGCTAAAAATTGCTCTCTTCTCTCGACAAACGACTCCAGAAAGCACGCGTGGCGTATTTTCTCTCCTTGTACAATTCCTCCCGACTTAGCTTCCAGCACTTTCATTGAGACGAGAACAGAGCATTCACTTCAAATTTTTGCAACACCACGCATACTGGAAGGACTAAAAATTTTTGGGGCGGTGAATTCATGAGGCAATAAGATTCTTTAGTGAATCCCTTCCATGACTCCTTGAAAAAGTGTCGCATGGCCACTTTAAATAGAAATATTACCTTCAAATCAATTTGATTTATTAAGCTTAAAAGCTTGTTATGATGGCTTATATGCTCCAAGTATAATGAACTTAAAAATGTTACATTTTATAAAAGTTATGACTGGCATTCTGCCGAAAGTCAAATCCTGCTACTACTCAAAGTTGTTTTGACTTCTTTAGAACGGAAAAATAAAAAGGCATTCGCATAGAGGCCCTATTTCAATTTTAAAAAATATTGTGCAGGTAAGTTGGGTCATAATAAATATGGTCATTTTTCTTCATATGTCATATGTACTATTCGAATTCGATATGAAATTATTCGACCAAAATCACTATTCACTACGAGCCTGAAATTCACTATTCGCACAAGCGTAGTAATTAAAATATGGCCAGGATTCTGAATACAGTTTAAAATTTTCTGAAAGTGTTCAAGTGTTTCACGACCCCTTTAACAACCACCGAGCGGCAAGTGGTGCAGTACGTGCGTGAGTTGATCATCATCATCATGATTAGCGCGCACTGGCAGTACTACGAAGGCGAGGCTTGGTGGGCACACGGGAAAAAGGAGCGAGGCACTTCGGGGAGCTGCGCCTGGCGCCAATGGACTTCTCTCGCAGTGGGTCTATGGGGGCGGCACCGCAGGTCATCTCCCATGGACCCTTCGTGGTGAGTTGAACATCGGCGATGCCACCTTCGCATTATTTCGTATTTGTTGTTATTTTTAATGGTATAGCGTTAAAGAGCTCGTTTCGCAGATATGTCGGCATTGGTATTGGTATCGTTGATTGTGAGCAAAAAATCATCATCGTGTGCATGACTGAAAAATAGAGAAAGACGCAAATAAAGTAATAAAAATTATAGGGTCCAAGTGAATATTGATCAAAGGCTGTTTGAGTAGCAAAAAGGTGTTCTGCCACACAGCCGTGCCTCTGCTTGGAAATACAGTGAAATTAAATTCCTCTGCTTGGAAACCCAGAGAAAGTAACTTCGAAGCTTTAGAAACACACACATCCTGTATACAGGCTTCACAGTACAACTTGTAATATCGCAGTAATATAGTGTGGTACAAGCGTACATTGCCAACGGGCATGAGAACATGTGATTATCCAAATGACTTTGTGGTTTAAAGTCGGCCACCCATTACAAAAGGCACACACATTACCCTGCATATTCCCTTTAAACAATGTAGTGGGTGCATACAAATTCAAAAAAAAATCTTGCATGCATAATTGCTTGAGCTTTAAAGCATACTACCCATTACAATGAATGCAGCCATAAGCGAAAGCTTCACTGACACAAGTCACTTTTAACTTTATTGATTACACTGTAGTAATATACACAACTTAAACTGCTCGAGTAACATTGTAAATAAAAAGTATGCAGTACGTGGTTGAAGTACACACTAGGGACAGGCCACCACTATCGTGTTTATGTGTTAATGTTGAAACTCAAGGATCCCCCAATTCCTTTTACTGTAGACAGAAGAATCTCCTTGGACACTCTGTTGAATTTTTTGCCCCACATTCTGGAATCTAGCAATTTATGTCACTTGCATAACATACCTCTCAATGAAACTTAAGTGCATAAAAATGTCATTCATTGGACTTTTGGTTTATGTTATACATAAAAAAATTAAATACAGTAGTAGAAGAGCTAGTGTAACCAACAAAAAACACCTATTCTTCCCCTGGTAGATAAAGAGTTCAAAAGCATGCATTAAAATTTTTTGTTGAATATCACCCACACTCATCGACACACATCTCAATTAAAAGAAGACCGAGAAGGACCTGCAAAGAAATAGCTTAAATCTAAACTCAAATTCGGATATCTACCCACTTACAATTTTGTTGTTGATGTAGTTTTCCAAGATGTTCAAGATGGAATCAAAACAGTTCTTTGGGAGATGTAGGGCTACGTTCTGAAACGCTCCTTATCTCAGTGAGGGGGCCTCAACTTGACTGAGGACTCCTTATTGGGTGTTCTGGTATGACCCTTACTAGGGTTCTTTGATTGAGGCACTCCTTGGTGCTCCCTAAATTAAAGTAGCACTGGGGCTATCTTCATGCCTCCTTACCTCACTCCTTGCACTGAGAGGGTGATTCTCTACAGTGCTATCGGGTTTGCCAACAGGTGCGAAAGGAGGGACTATCACATCAAATGAAACCTGAACAGTGGCAAGCCTTCACGATGGTATAGTACGCATCGTCCAGTCATCACCATTAACAGGCACATGCGTCCTGTTCGGCAGCTCTGCGCATATATGAGTGCCTGTCCATGGTGATAAGTGGACGGCGTGCACTATATCATCGTAAAGGCTTGCCGCTGTTCAGATTTCATTTGACCTGGATAGTATATCAGTGGTACACAGCTGTGGCCAGTTGAAAAAACAGAGTAATGCTCTGCGCGTCATTGCCTGAGTTCACCAGCGAGCGAGTGATTTCTTGTACAGTGGCCTGTATCACTATGTGACACCTTCAATCAGGAACTTGAGGCATCGGTTGAACCTTCAAGAACTACACAACTTCCGGATGAGGTATCGCTTCACGAAGCAGTCTGTGGTGCCCATACTGGAAGAGCTACTCCTCAACATAACGATAACAGAGGAGAGCCTTTATCGCCCTAGCTACAGCTGCTAATCACTCAATGATTCTATGCAGCCAGCGCTGCATAGCGTGTTGCTGAGGACCTTGTCAAAGTGTCGCAGCCACCAGGGAGCAGAACATCCCATTCCAGCTTCTTCCACAATTATGCAGGCGCAGTTGCCAATGTAGGAGAAAATCGCTACGGTCTGAGTGAACCCATAACTGCAGCGAACCCTCCTTTCTATTCCTAACACCGGTGGCATGTTTTCACTGTCTATCGATCCAAGATCTGTGAGTTCAAAAGTTTAAACAGGTTCTGTACATGACACCCATAGGACATACCACATATCAGTTATGGTGGTTCATTTCACGAAGGACTTCTAATTTCCTTGGAGGAATGCTTTTTCTTGGTAAAACGCAGAGCTTCTGTGGGGAGGGAAAGAGCGACACGAGGCGCCTGCTTTCAGTTGACTATGGACTGACTCAGCTACTGAGATCAGTAATCCACTATGATGAGACTTTTAGGCAAGTGACATTTGCCTGAAAACTGGCACCTACTTTGAGGGAGCTCGAACAATAGCCCTTTTAGCAAGTTTACTGTGCGCAGAACAGTAACTGTGTGCCGGGCAACGTTGTGCACGGCAACAGAGACATGAGTTGGTCCGGTCGGTCCGCTTCTTGGAAAGTAATTTGAAGTGCGCTAACCCGATGCGGACCACTAAAACATGATTTTATTTCAAAATAGGCCCTTCCTTGGCACAAAATTAACACTACGAGGTTTCTAGACCACCATTTCAACAATCAACGTTGATTTAATAGTTGATTTTTGTGTCCCTTTAACCCTGCTCAGTTATAAAAAACAGTTTCATCATTTCCTAAGTTCTTTAAGCAATCTTTATAGCTTGCTGCTTTTTTCCTTGCTGCAACAGGCAAAAATTCAATAAACAGCAAATGCTGTGCATCCATATCGGGAAGAAGCTCAGTGTATACATCATTATTCATCAACAATCGGGAAATATATTCCTTATAATTTCTTAAAAATGAATGTTAAGCCCATATTTCACAGCTACTTTCGATCCCAACCATGCACCTTACCTTACTGGGGTGGCCCTTAGAAAAGGAAGGTTGAAGGAAGCTCTCAAAATATGCTAGCTCCCTCAAGATAGCCTTAGGATAAAAAGGCATGAAGGGCTCCTCAAGTAACGTAAGGAAATGATCTGAGGTAAAAAGCATTATATAGGCCTTGTGGCCAAGGCCATACCATTCTGCCATCTGGTCATCTGAGGAATGCCTTGGCAAAGTCGCGAAAGTTCGACAGTATGCATAAGCATAACTTTAAGATGCTGTTTATTTTTACTCCCACATTAATGCCTCAGTAGGGCATTCCCAAAGGGACTGACCTTGGTGGTGAGTGTCTTGACAGGCTTGAGGTTGAAGTTGTAGTCAAGGTGGAGATAGTTGAGGTTCTTACGGTGAATCAGTAGGTTGAGCATGTTGTAGCCCTGGCGACACACCTGCAGTCCAGCTTCCACCCAGTCAATTGTAGTAGTCTGGAAGAACTTGGTCGATTTGAACGACCTGAAGAGGTACCTCTTCTTCTGTGGCTTGGGGGGCCGGTGCTTGAGTGCATTGAGCACAAAGTACTTGAGCAACTTCTGGTACGAGACCCTGACCTTCACAGGCATGCCTGGAGGACAGTGCTCACGGTACCTGTCACAGAGAGTGTCACCTTGATTATAATATTACCATGTGATGGCCACACTGAAATTTTACAGCTTACTTTCATTAAAATGCACTTGCATTTAATGAGATGCAAGTGCATTTCATTAAATGCAATCCGCGGTGCCACGGAGATCGCAGAAGGGGGGTAAGTGCCAAAGCCCACTTTGCAGCTGGCACGGCGTTCGATATATCCGAAGGTGGGTAAAAATACTGTTCGATATAAATGTGCGCATTTCTATACTTATACCCAATGTACATAAAAATAAAATATATGTTGGTTCAATATAACCGCGTTCGACTAAATATTGATTGTTGAAATGGATAATCTGTTTTTATTAGGGGAATCCAGCAGGACGGTTAAACTTTTTCGAACAAAACAATGAAGTCGGCCATTTTTTCTGTCCTGTGGGGGGGCACCCTAAAACCGGAGTGCCGGCTTCATTTGAATCGTTTGGAACCTGGATAATCTGCCCCTAGGTAGAATATAAGGCAGGGGTATAAGAAGCAGGTGCCACAATTAAAAAAAAAAAAACTCGCCTTATATTCGAAAAAATATGGTATAGCAATGCTTTGCTTTGAAGCATTGGAAGAGAGCAAGTACACCTCTTCAGTAATTTAGTATGAGCCAGAGAAATGTTGATGCTTACCAGGACTTCACCAAAGGAATGTCAATGGCACGGCGAGTGCGGTCTGAGCGCAAGTTGAATGGGCGCGGGGCCCACAGCAATGCAATACCATTGGCTGTGTTGTCAGTGTACAAGGGGCAATCCTGAAGGAAAGGCTGCACATGCTCTGGCAGCTCGAACTCTTCCTCGTCATCAGGCAAGGGGTCCACAGTTTGCTGCAGTGGCAAAATGTGCATTTAGACAGCATGCAACACAGATTCAACTGGACGGCATTTTCAATGGTACTGAAGGCATCTGCAAAATAGCTGTCACCGACACTATGCCCAAACATGCTAACTGATCAATCACTACACCACTGCAATCAAAGCGCCAATAAAAGAGGTAGTTATTCATTACCGAATACTACTTGAAAAAGACAGCATGGACTGAGGTTGATTGTACAGCCGTCATACTCCTATGTCCATGAAGGTCTCGCACAAATTAATCCTCGTATTCAGAGACACTCCTTGACTTGAACTTGACTTGCCACTGCCTCCAACGCAGCGTGTTTGAAACGCGTTTGTGCATCTGTGCTGCCTTGACACAACCTACAGCTGCACATTCAAAATGCATTTTAGCTGCATTGAAGGCAGTGGCAAGTCAAGTTCAAGTCGCGGAGTGTTTCTGAACACAGCTGTAAAAGAGCTTGCTGAGCGGAGAAAGCATGAACTCAGTTCAATGCAGGACAAGCCCTCAGCATTATATCACAAGGTGAGCAAGAAAAACAACAACTAAACTGTGGGAAAAGGTACAGAAATTACATAAGGTTAACTTCGCATGCAAAAGAGGCTATATTGGGGAAACAAGCCGGCATTAGTTAAATCGATTGGCTGAGAGAGCATGTGCACTCATTTAAAGAATCTGTAACCAGTTACATTGCCCAACACTTCAAAGAATGAGGATGTCAGCCTTTAGAAATGCAGAGCTTTCAAAAAATACAAAGAATAAAGACCACCCGAGATCCCCGACGCACACCATATTCATACACACAGCAATGCCTGCATCAGCACCTTCTGCTTCCCTACATAGCTCAGTAATATTTAGGTCTAAAACCTGACAGCCTACTTTGAGGCGTGCAATGTGACCATTTCCTTTCTGTCTGCCCGTACATAATGCATTTTTTGTTGTACCTCTGAAATGAGCTTGTGTATTAAGACGGTAAGTTGGGCCAGTTGGTTAGGATCCATAGTGAACTTACTTACAGCGCAACACTAGAAAAAATACAGGACAGGGAAAGAGCACAAGAGAAAGAAAAGACGGCGCTGACTCACAACTCAGTTGTGAGTCAGCGCCGTCTTTTCTTTCTCTGGTGCTCTTTCCCTGTCCTGTATTTTTTCTGGTGTTGTGCTGTAAGTTCACGATGGAGCTTGTGTATGCATCGCATTTCTCTGCAATTCATCATGTTGCCACCCTAACATACCAGTCACAGCAATAATATCAGATATCATACGGCAGACTCTAATAGAATGGAACCTGAAGAAACCAGGAAAGTATGGTCCATTTAAAAGTTCAGTTTACTGAGTGACAAACAGGGCTGCAGGATTCAAGTACAAAGCAATCATACCAGAGACAGTTGTTTCATTTAGTCAGCAGTTCTGTTTAGGCGATTTCCGTTTACTGACAGCCTAATGCAAATAACAAAAACTTCAGTGTCAAAGAAATTTAAATGTGAGTAATGTCCCAAGAAGGAAAAAATAAAACCAACAAGCTTTGCAAAAATTTCATGAAAGGGTAAAGAATCTCGTACACTTCGTAGCATGCAACTACAACGGACTCTTTCATGGGGAAAGAGTAAGCTACTGCAGGGTTGCAAACAATGCGAATAACAAGCCAACATGTCTACAGTTACTGAGCGAAATTCACTAAGCCCCAATGATGTTTAATGCACGCAAGCCCTAATCAAATAGGGCAAATGTTGCTTTCGCTAGCATGACATTCAATGGCATGATGTAAATGCAACAATATTTTGGTTCCTGCAATACTCCACAGCACAGTAATGCGTGTTGAGCAGGATAAGCAAGAGTAATAAAATACATCGTGAACTATAAAAGCACTGATACATACAGCCTAATCAGTACAATGAGGCTAATTTTAACAATAAATCCCATTTTAATACATGCCAAGCTCAAGGATTCTGAATCCAGGAAATTGCTGCAACTGGAAGGGAGCGGGGAACGTTTGCCCCCCCCCCCTCCCCATTTTATTTTCACACACATACAAAAAAAAAAACATCACCAAGGGGGGGTCCCAAACAGACCCGTAAGCGTTAACATAGGCGTGGCAGCCTAATAATCGCTTATAAACAATGCAGGAGGGGTGTCCCTACTACAGCATAATCTCGGTGATACGTATGAATCTCAAGCGGTATCGAAAATATCCTTATCACCTGAAACTTTATATGATAAAAAAAAAACAAGAAAAAATACGGTTTCTGGTCTGCGATATACGCACCAAACATTTCTTTCCGTCAAGAAACTCGCCTAATGGTACACACACAAACGGACCAATAAGGAACGGCTAGCTGGCTGCCGCAAAAGTGCACTTAAAAGCTTCGTTTGAGGCCAACTGCAAAGTGCTATAGTCGGCTTCACCGTAACGAACAAAGAAACACAGAAACGCGTGACATGAACACAGAAACGCATGTCTTTTGTTACGCCTTTATAACCTTTGATCTACCACTGCGTTAAACGCTTATCTTCAGAACTCGTAGTCCCATGCGATGTCGTGTCGCAGTAACCATGGTTTCACTCGGAACAATTGCGGCAAACAGTAGTTCCGTTAATAATTCGCGTGCACTGACCGCGCAAGTGCCTTCAAAACTACGTTGCTTTTTCGCTATCAATTACTGCATCTGTCGAGGTTTTGTAGACAGCATTTAGGGAAAGCAATGTCACTTTGAATGGGTGAGCGTTGGACATGGCGTGCACTTTCGAAATTCTGTCAGATAGCGTCAAAGAACCGCGGTTTCGTTGGCTGCGCGCATCCTCCCTAAGCTTCTAGTAAATTGCTCACACCTATTGCTCAATGGTTTGCTAATGAAGTTCGTATCACTTGGCCCGACGGGCCGAAGTGTCCAGAACATCCGAATTTAGGCCCATTGGAGACAGTGAAATTCAGCTGGGGAATTTCGCAAATTCGTATCAGCGAGATTTTATTGTACATTTACATCGACAGCTCCGAATTCGTTTGAATTGTAATGCAATAGTCCAATTGTTTCGCAAAAACCTAGATTCGACTAAGTTGGATTTTCCCTAATGTCACCAGATCACGCACAAAAATTTTGATTTCCAGGAGATTTCCAGCCAACCATACAAATGTAAGAAATGGCCAAAATCCAGGAGTCTCCCAGAAAATCCGAGAGACTAGGCAAGTATGTATTTTGGCATACTTTGCTGGTGGCAGACATCGCAACCAAACAAGATTATACATATTCTTTTTGACCATCGCTTCTAGATATTAAAATGCCAGTCACCTTGGTGCCTTGACGATGTGCAATAGGGTTTATCAAAGGGTCAAAGTAGAATGCTGGCAGGTCAGGATCTTCAGTCTTGATGTACACTACATTAGGAGTGTGATACCTGCAATCATAACCACACATAATAATGTAGCACTTTCGATACAATAGCATTGCAATACCTTGCCATTATTATTAATGCCATAATGCATCCCGCCAAATCATGATATAACAAAACCTGTATTATTGACAGCGTACTTGATTCAAGGTGGGACATGATGCCTGAGAACTTTCTGAGAAGTTCTTTATCGATTTTAATGAAACTCACACAGTTTATATAGATTTGCATGCCGATATGAACATGCAACTTTTTCCCTAGTATGATATGTAGTTTTTAAATTCCAGGTGTCATTTTGGGAGCCCTATTTTGCCTAAACAGTGAGAGTTACAAAGTAAATATGCATATCAGAATGAGCTGAAACGAGTACAGAGTGCAAGAAAAAGAACATGTTCTAAGCATACTTATATGAGTTGTGATATGTTCAATATTCGGGACCACAATACCAGCGTGACTTGAACTCACTGCCAAATGTTCAACATGCCTTAACTTTTGTACAAATGGATCTAAAACATCCATTTTTGTTTTCTTGCATGCTGTACTCATTCCAGGTCATTGATGTGCTCATTTACGTTGTAGCTATCTCCTCTTAGTCAAACTATGGCTCCCAAAAAGCACACGACGAATTCGTTATTTTAAGAACTACATAATATTGTTATTAGTCGTGATGCATTAGCCTGTTGTGGCATATGAAGAGACGAAAAACAAGCTGGTGCACCGCACGAGATTCTGGCAGCTATTCGGTGGCACAGTTACTTGTATATACTGTGAACTCCCAGTACGAAAAAACTAAGATGAAATCTTGCTTAAGCCAAACAACACGGGAACCCTTGTTTGGTTTCCCATAGCCTCAATGAAAAAAAAAAAAAGATCCGGTTAAGACGAACCGTGGAACAGGTCTCTTTTGTTTAGATGAACTTTTATAGTTGCAGACAATGCTGGCGAATGTGCAAAACAAACACTGTAGTCTTGGAGAGGCATTCAGGTGAACGGGAGAAAGCAATAGAGAAAAAAAAATTCCTTTCCCTGCACAAAAATGCGAAGCGAATCGAGACACGGAGGGAGCGAGATAAGCAGAAAAGAAATGCAGCACTAGCCACCATAGCAGCCCATAGAGACAGCATCATCTTCTTCACCCCACCCCCCTGTGGGTAGAAAGGGAAAGTGTGTACTTTGTCAGCAAAGAAAGCAACACAAAGTGTTGGGGACGCAATGGCTGGGGGGATCCAAGACTGAGCCTTTTTGTATTCTTCCCCCCTCCCCTGTTCTTTGGTTCTCCCAATCGAGCTCAAAGATGAGCAGAGCTACAGAACACATAAGTTAGGGCCCCCTCATTGGCTGTAAACAGAGGGTAAACGAGGAAGGGGGGGGGAAGACAACCAAAAGCAATAACGTGAACTGAAGTTGTCGGTGCCCCACAATCACACACGAAACCAAAACCTCATTGGTGGCACCAGTGCTCTTGTCAGAGGGATTACATGCATTGTTATCGCCACCCAGAATGGCTCCCGAGCGCAAGTTGGGGGCAGTTTGTGCCGTTCCACATAGGGCCTGTGAGTGTCGTATCTATTCCCGGTGAAGTGCAAATTGTGACCCGCCATTTTCATTATCTAATGGCACGACAGAGAAACTTTATTTTGTATACAAAATGCAGCTGAGTTGAGTCTTTTTCATTTGCCCAAGATTTGTGACTGTGAGTAGTGCAAACAAACATGTTGCTGCACATCGATCAGGAAATGTTACTACGGGCCAGAACAAGGAAAATACAGTGTAGACCACTTATAATGTAACCGCTTAAAATGCAGAACTGGTTGCAATACGATGTTTTTTTACTCCCGTTTACCTTCCCATAGTAGAGCCCCATGTATATGCATACTGCTTATTGTGCAGTCCCTCAAGACAAAAGACCGGTTATAATGCTGTTGCTGGAAAATCATTGTGACAAGGCGGTAACGAGTGTGCATCTGAAAAAAGGCGTGCTGGGTGGGCCTTTGGAAAGCGAGAGACAAGGTCGTTACGGAGGAGGAGGGAACAGGGAGTGAACAAATGGCGGAGGGAAGAAAAAGGAAAAAAAAAAAGACCGTGGTTCGCTGCGCAGGCTCGCTGAGTAGGAGTGCAGTTGCATCGGCGACGAATAAGCCTTCACACCGGTGAAGATTATAGCGTCGCAAGCATGGCACCGGCAGCGCGCGGCTCAGTATGGCACCTGCAATCCCGTCCTTATCGACTGCGCTTAACAGTTTCCTGTCAAGAAAAACATCGTCGTTATCGAGCTTGCTATATTTACCAGGTTTGCTACCTAGCAGTTGCTACCAGTGTGCTGTCATGCGTAAGCTTGGCAACTTTTCGTCATTGCTCTTTATGATACCGCTCTTTATGATACCTCTAAAGCTCTTTATTATACCGCCCGCTAAGTGCAATGAGTTGCGACAAAAGACATGGTTGCATAGAATCGGAAGTGAGAACTTCAGGCCGACATTTTTTAGTTCACTTTGCGAAGTAAGTTACGCGTCTCTCGCTATGATAATGATTCAACATTTGCTCAATTCAATGCCTGCCCTAACGCCGTAGACAAGCCGCAGTTAATTGTGCAGGACGTCGCGATCTCTCACTCAGGTTTCATTAACGGTTCTGTGGGATTTTTTTTTTTTTTTTTTGCCAACAATACATGCTTACGTGTTGTGCTTGTCGTTATGCGCCGACTGGTTTGTGCACTGGGCATGTACGTGGAAAGACGTTCGAAATCGTCATTGCGAAACTTCAGAGATTTCGCGCTGCTGTTTTGAATAAACAAAACTTGAGCACAGCAACTCACACTAAGATATACTCTCCGTTAGCTTTTGTTGCATACTCGTATATTTCAGAGTAAATTGATCTCGGTGGCTCTTTTTTGTTGACTGATCAGCAAGAAGACTTGTGATGTGAGGGCAGCTATATGCAAAAAAGCATGAATTCAAGTCATTGCTTGCATGCGTCGTTTAGGAACCTCAAACATACTTGTCATTTCACGTGATAGTTTATTTGCTATTTTGTGTGAAGGTTTATATGCGCGAGTGGAGCTCTCGCAAGATAATCTCATATAAAGGCACGGCTAGTTCATTCATACACTAGCTCGTTCTTTAAGTAATACAGTTGGTATGTGAGATAGCAGCACAAGGCGCACTTCCGAAATTTGACTGGTGCATATAACTACTTCACGAAACAACTACAGCTGTTCAAATAAATTTCTACGATACTGAGGGGGCGCGTGGAAGAACAGGAGAACGAGGTTGGCACGAGCGGTGATCGGCCAGATCCCTGGACTCTCCTGTTCTTCCACGCGCCCCCTCAGTATCGTAGCAATCGTAGTATCGCAGTATCGCAGTATCGTAGCATCGTAGCAACTATAAATGATGTGTGCGTTCTGATGCATTACTAAAGGCTTAGATGGCTCACCAAATGCTAAAATAAACCGTCACCGGCATCGCCGTCCCGTGTGGACAGTGTCAACGAGAGTTGCTGCTTCCACTGCATGACAGTCACTGTGCATGCTCTCTGCACATATTGTGTACCTTATATACTGCAAAGCTTGCACCACCCATGCGCTGAGTAAGGAAAGACAGTCGCACTGTCCCTTTGGGTGCTCTCGTGCCAGCTAATAGAAAAGCAAGCCACAGCCACGTATGAACGTGTGAGTGATGTTATGTGCAGTGTAAAACTTCTTCGGAGACGTGCTAAATGATGGGCCAGGAAAAACAGGTGGTCTCACTAACGATAAATTTTTTTCCATTCAGGAACATACATACTATGAGGTGGTGCACACAAAGTTAACATCTGGTCACTGTGACGACGAGTGACTTTATCAAAGCTTGATCACACGTACTCTGTGCGCATGACACTAAACAGAGCTGTCACAGGCCGTTACATTCGTTAAAATAATTTTAGGATGAGTTAGACGGCTGGTGCGATTGCTTTCCGCGCGCTGCCTGCCGCGCAAGTGCTCTTTCTGCAAAAGGGCGTCTGCTGTGCAGGAGTAAAATAGGTGGTGCCACATTTAAAAGAGAGTGCAAAGGAGAGGAGACCGAGTAGAAACGGACCAGAGAAGGAGAGTGTCGCTACTTTGCGGAGTTTTAGGGGCTTTAGTGAAATCGGGTGCGTGTCTGTGAAATCAAATGACTGACACATTTCAGCACCTGAAACACCAAACGTGATTTGACATAGTTTCTGTGTAACACTGTGGGGTCTCGATTAGGAGAATGTCACGGTCTTGGAGTGAACAGACACGGCAGACGCGGTCGGACAAAACCAAACCACCCACATTTAACTACCTTTGGAATGACAATATCACCAGCCAAATTAGTTTAACATGAATTGCGATCAACGCACTAAACAACATTACACAACACTCGACAACATGATAAACACAAGAACACATTCCTCAAAGGCCCACCAAGAGATACAACCGCTTGCTCCGAGCGCCACGCACAAAAGAGACCTGCTTCTTTCTCATAGGCTGCCACCCAGGCTTTCCGCCAGGCGTCACCGCAGGCACTAGCCTTTTAACAACCATAATGATGACGGTGGTAGTGGTGATAAACGCTCGCGAGCGCAACGCCACCTGCCGCTCAGAAGTTGTGACCCCTTAAATGCAGCTTATGTGCGAGACACGTGTGCCACGCGGCGCCAACAACTCTACAAGAATGTCAGCACCCCCCACAACACGCATGATCGAGGCGGTTTGAGAATCTGTCGGCGAATTTCCGCTATGTTGCTTCCATTTGTTAGACACTCCCCTCCCCCCTTTTTTGGCTTTCATTTCGTTGGCAACGCATGTCTTTCGACATTAAATGGTTGTAAGCACTCCGTAATGCATGCTTCGATTTTCGGACAGGCGAGACTGCATGCTCAACATGTTTTGTGCAAATGTTGTCCTTGTTTTAAAAAGGCTGTTTTGGTTATAATGCGGCACACCGCTTATAGGGCAGATATTGGCAATTTACGTTAAAGCAGTCTATACTGTATTTAGA